CACTACCCTATAGTATCAAATAAGAAGCATTAGATATCTGTGTTTTATTTGATTGTACTATTAATTACTATAAAAGATTTTCTGAAATAAACATAGCTGGAGTCTACAGCAATTCAATTAAAGCCTCAAACAATAATAGATTATTTCTAAATTAATCCAAAATCTTTGTGCCTTGGCTTTTACCAAACACACTAACAATATGTCTAGACTTTAGAAATTTGTTTTAATCAAAGGCATAAATCCTACTGGAACTTCACTGAGGGACATTTGAAATACGGTTAATTGTGATTTCAGCATTCAGCAATTTCCTTATCAAAGCAGTCATTAATTTTGAGACTGGGTGGAAGGTTATGAACTTCTGACTTTTGAGTTTCATTAGCTTCAAATCCTTGTTTATTATCTTGTACCAGGAGATTCGTTAGTCTTCAGTACAATGTTATTTTGTTCAGAAGTTCATTGTTCTGCAGATAAAGGTGTTGCTCTAGATGTGGTTTTGGAAATTGTTGCTGTCTTAACAATTCTTGGTGTACAAATTTCTTTGTTCCCACATAGAATTCTGAAATATCCTTTCTTTTAAATGTTGATCCTTAGTCTACATCACTTAACAATATTCTCTAGCTACGTGTAGTGGGTTTGCACTATCTAATGGTCTGGAATTTCCTGTGCAACAAATGTATTGATGTATTAAAGCATGTGCTGTGACTTGCATAACACACATCAGCATATGAAAATAGTTTGTATGATTAATCTGAATAACTCCATAAATTTAAATGTATAGCTTAATATCGTAAAATAGGTTTTTTTTATATACTTAAATAGTTTTGCTTTTAATGTTATGATATTTCTGTAGGCGACAAAAGCAGTTGGAAGCGAAATGGGTACAAGATGAGACATCTAAAAGAATTGAAGAGATTGTAGAAAAAAGGGTGCAGGAAGAACTACAGAAGCGTAAGGACGATATTGAAGCAGAGGTCCTGAGAAGAGTTGAAGAAGCCAAAAAAGCCATGGAAAAACAAATGCTGGAAGAAATGGAGAAACGTAGAGAAGATGAACTTGCAGAACAGAGAAAGAAGGAGGTAATGAATCAAAATGGTGCTGCACACTTTTCTCCATTGTGGACAGTTTTTGATTACTACTGGATGACACCACTTCTGCCAAAAGTTTGGCAGAAAGTAAATTTACAGCTAAACTGTGACTCCTGTTATCTTTATTTATTTTTGTGTGGCATGATATACCAGCTATTTTACCTACTTGGTAAACGTATTCAAGGTTATTTTTTATTATTAAAGAAAGATAGCTAAATTTCATTAAATCAATAAAAATGTGAGGCCCACATGTTTTTGCATATATTTTTAAGGTTATTTGTTTGTTGTTATGGATGATACCTAATGAAGTCCTTTTTAAACTCTTTGGGACTTTTGACACCATTTTCTCAACAAATGAAAATTGTGTATTTGTTTTATTTAAATGAGCATGAACAATTTCAGCAGTAATGTGCAGGTTTAATGAACAGATATTAATACGATTTCATAGTACACTAGATTATAAATAAAACATGCAAGTAAAATTACTGGCCTGTGTTAAGTGTTTAAGCAATAGCTATCTCCTATCATTAATCAAAAGATTTAACTCACACTTTATATGTTTCTGGTTTATTTATAGGACAGAGAGAGATCAGTGCACAAAAGTCAAATTATGCACGTATTATGACTTACCTATATTGGTAAAGTTACTTGCAGGATTCCACACAAACTTTTTTGTGTGAAATGCAATAATACAATAAATCTGTCAATGATTTAACAAAACTTAAGATTATTTATCATGCTAAAATGCATCATTTGTAATTTTATTATTACAAATCTTAAATGTAAATATTTGGATTGAAAGGAAAATGTGAATACAAAACTGTTGCAGCTCACAATTTTTTAGACTTTTAAGTGATTCTTTGGACTAAAGTATGTTAAAAATAACTTTAAAAAGTGATATTTATAGGTAAAATTAAAATAACTATAAAAGGGGCTTATATTAAGTCCTTTAATAATTAGCCTTTCAACAACTCAAAAGGTATGACCGTAGTATGGATAAATAGATTTAAATCCTAGTTCAACTTTTAACATTACTTTTTAGATTTTATAAACAGAGCTGTTGTTCCTTGTTTCATTAAAGGTATTTCTGGCAAATGTGTTTGTTGTAGCAGCTTTTTCTCCCAGGTTGTAGGCACAACAGAAATCTTCACCTTGGTCCCTGCCACGTGAGTTGTTTGTTAGTACAGCAACAATATCCCACATCTCATTTGTGGTCAGTTTTTGTTTCGTGTACCACTTGACTTTAGGGTACTTTTCTTTATGTTTTTGCAATGTAATGTTTAACTTCTAACCCATTTTACGTAACTATGCTAAGATTCTGGATAGTTAGATCACGAACTTTGCTGAACTTGTTAGCTGTTTGAAGACAGACAAGCGGGTACGGAGACACCATTAAAGGCAAGTTTGCTACTTTAAGGATTTCTTAGATTTAGCTGTGTCTCAATCAGTTGCTCACATAAGGGTGAGTAAAAACACTCCATGATAATCTAGCAATATTCACATATACCTGTTTGGCAAAGAGTGGGATAATTTGAAATTTGTCCTAACTCATTCCATTTTCACAATTCTCCCTTATGTCAGTAAAGTTAACCAGCAATTAACATCTACGTTTCTTTAGACTTATCTAGTTGTGAAAAAGTTAATTTTATATATGATAAATTTGGGCTCATTCAGATAAATTATTTTAAGCATATGTTTCTTGCAGTATGTGAGGAATTATTTTGCATAGGAATAAGAAAGCATTCTGTTGCAGTGTTTTTTATACTTAATGTTATTAATGTAGGATAAATTTCTTAGGTCTGTTTGTTTAAGCTGAAGCTTCTGACTTCTGTACTTATGGCAAACAGCAGCATCAAAGTGTGATATATTATCAAAGCAACACTAATAAAAAATATCACCATCGTACATGTATGGCAGAAGAAATGATATTGATGATAAAAATACTGTTGTACATGCAGCACAAATGCAGAGAGAGGTGGTGAGATGTGCAAATTTTCATGTATACACGTTAGTAGTTCACACGTGTATGTGCGTGTGTGTGTATATGTTATAGCTATATCTGAATAATGTATTCAGTAGATATATTTTTACCTTTTCAAATTGTATATGCAATTTCTTCTTTTTTTTTATCTCAGGCTATTCAGAAATGGCACAAAAGTGCTTTTAATTAGTGTTAGAAAAGAAATATGATTATTCTTGTACACATACTATGTATTTTATGTAGTTGTTCATTTAACATAAATTAGTACTGTACAATAGTGATTTATCTCTGTTTCCTAGTAAAATAAGTTAACAGATTGAGAGAGATGTAGTTTTAATCAATTGCATAAACAGATGGCAATAAACTCTAGAAAAGTAGAAAATAAAAGTGAAAAGGCTTTAAGATGAAATTTTTCAAACGTGTTTGAGAAAGAAAATTATTACATATAATAAAGTACTACATTTTAGAAATTACATTACATTAGTATAGGATCTATAAACAGTAGTCATAAAATAATAAAAACTGGAATCATTTCATCAAACAATATTCAAATTCAGTTGCTATTTGTAGAGTTCTCATGAATTGTAATGACAGAAGTCAGAGTAAGTATTGCTAGAATAAACTTGCATACTTACAAAAAAAATTCTGATGGGATGGCAAACACAATCATTCTTAAACAACAACAAAAAAAGATATGTAGAAAGATAAAAAAAATTAGCCAGCAGATAGTTTTTAGAAGTGTTGAGTTTTTTTTCACAACTCTATATGGGCAACCAGCATTTGAATGGTATGTGTATTTATAATACTTGTACTTTATTATGTTGAAGGAGCCTTCTGTAGCAGCTTGTTGGTGTTACTGTATTAAAAGCTTATTTTGATAATAAAATAAGTATTTTAGTGTTACTTTTATCATTGCATGTTACTTAAATTGTTTTTTTTTGTATAAAATTTTTATAAGATAAATTGAAATATGCATGTTTTACAGTATTTCTGCTACTTAAATATTCTATATTTTCTAATATTTATAACAGTAAGTTCATATTATCGAAGTTCTAAAAAGTGGATGGTACTTTGTGCACTTAAGCAACCATTGTGTGTCTGATACTTAAAAGCAGTCTGAGAAGATATTCTGAGCCATAACTGAACAAAATGTTTTTGTGTACAAGAATATTTGTTATCACAGAAAGTTCCTCCTTTAAAATGAACTGTGTACCATGCTCCCAAAAAAATATCATGAGTGTCTAAATTTTATACTATAGTATTAGTTGTATTACATACATTTTTTTGCACTTTTGTTGTTCTTTATAATGTGCTCTGTATCTAACTTTTGTTTTTTGAGAATTAAGGTGCCTTATGAATTGAAAATGGTTTTTGGGTAATTCTGTGCTTTTGAGCTTTAGAACTGAATAAACATAGTTAGGGAAAAGCAGATATTACTAGAATTGTAGATATGGCAGCTAGTAATGAAAAAGTTGCATAGTTGATTATATTGAAAAGTGTGGTCTTATTGCCTTTTTTTTTATCTGAGCAAGATCTTTACTATGAGCTTGGCCTTTGGTAATTCTTAATCTAAGGAATATGTATAGATGAAGACATAAAAAGAGTTCAAAATCATCATATTTTACAAACATTGACCCTCTCCTGTTTTTGTTTTTTTATCTTTACACTTGAACATAATACTCTTTCAAATTAATTGTACTGTAAGATATGGCCTTAAAGCTTTAGTAAGATGCACACTTAAAAGTTTCTTGCTATATATTAATGCCTTTCTCATCATTACATCATAAATGTTATTCCAACTCATTTCTTCAAGAAAAGTATGAAAGCATTTGATGGCATATAGAATAAGGTCTTTTAAAAATTAGTTTATGCAATATTAGAATTAATAAGTATTTCCAAAGAAGAAAAAATATTTTCCGTAACATTTTGTTTAAAGGGAATTTTTAACAGTACAATTTTTTAACTGAAAATAATTATAGAATATTTTTCTTCCAAAAATTTGGTTACAAGGGGTGAAAAAAGAAAATTGGTCATTAATTTCAAGTTGCATTAAAGTTTGAAATTTTAATTTATAATTATGCCGTTGATATTACATTTCCATATCATAGTGTGATGATATATAGCAAAGAAATGTAAATAGCAGTAGTGTTTACTTTAAATTTTTCTGTTTTATGCTGTTAATACCAGACTGAATATCGTTTTAAAGTTTGCTATTTATCATGGTTTCTGTGAATTTTATACTCCTACACATGTATAACCACTTATATATCATTGAAGAAAATATATTGGAATTATAAATCAAAGTTGACAGACTTTTGATTTATCATAATATGCAGCAGAAAGACAGAAGCTTCAGTGATGATTTGCTTTCATATTAACTCAATGTTTGTGATAAGATATTACCCATAGTTGTTTCAAGACCTTGCATTACCAGCTGAAAATTTAATTTCCCAGGACGAAGAAAGAAAGAAATGTGAGGAAATTGAAAGAATCCTTGAAGAAAACAACAGGAAAATTGAAGAGGCACAGAAAAAGCTGGTTAGTTGTACTTTCTGTTATAAATCATAGAGTTTTTTAACAATTATGACTTCGTACTATTTTGAGTCAGGGAAAGGTATATATATATATATATATTTAATGGAATATATCTAGTTTTTTCTGTTTAGAACCACAAAACCACAATTTCTTTTTTTATATTTTTCTTATGAAAAAAAAAAATTATCATTGGTCTATAGGAACTTTGGAGATGAATATGTTTTTTGATAAACACTCATTTTGATAGAACCTATTACCGATATGAAAATATAAGCTTCAGAGGATACAGATTTTCAGCTTGTGATTTCCTTTACTGCTTTTATCTGTGTATGAAAAGTTGATTCTTTTATAAAACATCATCATAAAGTTCATTTATGGGATTCATTGCAAATGTTTAAAATTTCTGTATTCTTTGTTTTTGTTGCTGTGTCCAAAATTGTGATCACACTAAAGTACAAACAAAAAACTCCCCCAACTCCAAACAATACAAAATTAATCTGAAAAAACTATTTTATTGTTTAGTCACTGCTTGTAAATTGTTTACTTTGTGTTTTTTTTAATAATATTGTGTCTAAATAAAAATTAATTTATGAATCATTGTACAAGTTTAATTTCTATAGAAATTTGGGCATTAGACCAGTACAAAGATTTAGACATGTTTTGGTTCATGTATAAATTAAACATGCTACATTATAGAATTATGGGTCTGATAATCACAAAATGCCAAACATGATGAAACTCCTTATTCCAATCATCCAGTCTGTTGTTATCTGTGTGCAGAAATTGACTTCACCTAATTTACAGAACTGTATGTTTACAGACACCTTTTATTAATTGATAAAACCAAAAATGAGTTGTTTCTCTTCCAAAGTGAAGTTATGCATGCTTTGTCATGTACAAATGAACAGCAAAATATCAAGCTGAAATGTATCCTCTCTAGCCTTCTGTTGTATGAGGTATAAGAGAGAGAAAAAAAGGCTTTATAAAGATAAAATGTTTTAAAAGCAAAATATTAGACCACAACTGTCAGTGAATTTAATTTGTTAAGTAAAATTTCTAATTCCAGGCAGAGGAGAGGTTAGCAATGGTGGAAGAACAACGCAGGATTGATGAAGAGCGTCAAAGACTACAAAGAGAGCAAGAAAAAAAAGTAAAGCAGGAGCAACAAGTGATTTTGAATAAGGGAAAAGTTAGACCAAGGTTAGCTTTTTCTCTAAAACCAACCTGAATAACTGAATTACACTCAGAAAACCAAGTAGTGGAATTTGAGTTGAAAGCAATTGGTGATCTGTGAACCTATAAGAATTATATTGCACTTCCCATCACCCTTTTTTTCCTGGCAAATGTTTTAACATTTCCAGGATAGAATAATGGTTATTTTAGACTATTATTTTGTAAATGAACCACCGTGTAAAAATAAGCTTGGGTCATGGCTAAGTTACAATAACTAGAATTGTGTTTCAGTTCTTATAAAATAATAGCAGTGGAAGATATTAGAAGACTGAACTGTAGTTGGTGCAGTTTTTGTTTTCTAGTTATATAGACCAGACACGTCTTTTGTTTCAACATATAAATCAGTTGGAAATAAAGAAGCCTCATCCAAGATTCATCTTTGTTAATACTTTATTAAAGCAAACCATTGATTAAATTGCAGTAAATGTTTTACATGTTGAAAGTTACTGTTTCTTCTGTATTAAAACTGTTGAGGTAAGCTTCATAAGTTTCTGTAACCAATAAATATTGTGTGTGTTTTTATTTTGGTTTTCATTGTTAGTTCACTAAGCATAGCAGAAAAGATTAAGAGGTACAATGGACCAACACCAAATGTCTAACCAGTAGAGTCTTTTTGACTCGCAATGTTTTTGCATTTTCTGCTGAGTAGAGAATGCTTAAGTCTTTATCACAACTTGTCCTATTACATATTTTCTTGTTGATTTGAACCACTGGGTAGCATATTGTGTAACCAAAAAGTTCATGTAAATTTGTAAACAGTGTGTGACCACCAAAATCAAATCTTTCATCTTGAAAATACTTTTATTACACAACTGAGGTTTAAAGATGATTCTCAGTGAAATTTATAAATATGAAGATTTTAAAATGCCAAAATACCCATGCCAATTGAACACCACCCAAACACTAATGTTTGATGTGCATAAATTCCCTCTAACAATAATCATACTATTCATGGGTTCTTAATTTTTAAAATTATGGAAAATTTTCTTATCCACAAGTGAGATACCCTGCAATAGACTTAAGCATTTGCTGCTCAGCAGAGAATGAAAATACAATGCCATTAAAAGAGAGTTTATTGATTAGACATGTGGAGCCAGGCCTTAATTAGAGGTATTCTTTGTACTCTGGTAGGGAGGTTTAATTCTCTGAAGTTGCAAAAAAATTGAAAGTACTTTAGATGAAAATAAATTTTACTTTTAATCATATTAAAGGTGATTTTTCCTAGGTGAATAAATTACGAGTTTTTTAGGAAATGAAATACTTGAGAAATTTGTCTGATAGTGAAATGTAAACTTAACAGTGCTGGCCTTTCAGTCCTGCTGCTACTAATATTAGTTTTCTGACCTACAAAGGCTTGAGCCCAGTTAAAAATATAATCTGTTGTCCTTCACATTGTTTTCCCAACTTATGATAGCCTGAATGTATTTGCTTTATTTATCATCCCAACAAATATACTTACTGATATTAAAATTGTATCTTCTAATAAAACTGAACTAAAAGGAAAAATTTAGTTAATATGTGATTTTTATAATAAAACTGGGAACTAAATTAAATAAAAAAAGTAGTTAATGTGTGATTTTCAAATAATCACTGCATTTATACTGAAACCATCAAAATTGATTCAGGTAGTGCTCTAATAAATCAGCCAATGCACTTTCAGTTTAGAAGTAAATATTGCACCTCATTTTAGTTTTCATGTTGGTACATAAAAATTAAGAAAAATCAATTAAATGATTTATATTATAAAATTAAAAAATACAAATGCTATCTGTTATCTTGTTATTATGTTTATGTAAGTAATTACATAAAATTAACAGTGATTAAAAACTTAACATGAGTTGTTTGAAGATAAAAATGTTTGTAGGCTCTAGGTATTCAAATCAGGTAAGTGATTCAGTACAGTTTACTAGGAACTGCTGTTTGTAAGTTTGTCTAAAAATGATTGAATTTAGAGAAATATAAATTTTGGTAATTATATTAAAATGTATCTCTCCATTATGAGGAATTTAAACTGTTTAGAAGTTCTACAGTACAATTTGTGTAGTGAATTACATATATATATTTATTGTCCTTGAAATGTATTTGTCTTGGCAATAATAAAATATCTTTTGTATTTAAATACAGCTGTATATTTAAAAGAGATGTTTGCATATTCCTAGTTGGTAATATAAATCAACTTAAGCAAGATGCTGTTTTAAATGTGTTTGGCAACATAAAAAATTTAAGGTTATACTTTGTTTAGTGAATCCATGCTTCTTGTCATCACTGACATTGATATAGGACTGAAAACTTGACACTGTTGAAAAAATGATGTCAGTGTGGTCTTTATTTATATCACTTTGATAAGAACAAAATGTGGGTTTTAGTTAAAAGATAGAGAATGGGTGAATTCATAAATTAGTTTTTCTATAGACTGAGGTACTGGTGTTTAGCACTATCTAGAGTGAAAACTATCTCGTGCATTCTTTTTTTGTTTTCAAAATGATCAGTTTTACAGTTTTTTTAAGTGTCTTTGGTGAATAAATATAGTTGAAAGTAAACCAGTTTCAGTTTTTATTTTTGTGTGATATTTTTTAATTTGTGGTTCTTAGAATCTTTTCAAATACACTTTGGTTTTTAGTGATTTGTTTTTGTTTTATTTTTACATGTATTAGTGTTTGCTGGGAATGTTGTTAAAAGAATATGTATTATATATCCCCTAAGATTTGGTCGAAATTTTGATAAATAACAAACTTCAGGCTAGTAGTAAGCCACACAAAACAAAACTGTGTTCATATATGGGCAAGAAAAAAATTAACTGGATCATTTATAGACTGAGCTTTCAAAGCTGTATTGAGATTATAGTAGTCTAAAAGTAGTACTCAGAATTGTTTCTTTAATTTACAAAAAAAATGTTTTCATTTATTAACTTATTTAATTTTACAGATTTATACAGTTTTGAGTGTAGACAGTTATACTTAATCACTACCAGTAATTTATTCCTAAATCCAAAAGACAATTTGAAATTTTTGTTAATGTTAGTACCAGTAAGAAAAATGCCTACAATGTGGTAAGTGGAAATGAAAACAGATCTGGATGTTGTTAGTATTTCATGTGTGAAAGATCCTTTTTTTTTATTAAATTTTATCGAACCCAGACTTATGGAAGAATGTGTTAGTGGATTCTTCAATCAGTCTTGGGCTCTACCTTGTTGTCTGAATTGTTACTTATAGATTTGGTGTAGTTACAATTCTGTGGTCTAGCTCAAATATGTTTCTCAGAGTAAGAATAATAAATTGAATAATATTAGTTCTTTCATGTATTTTGTTAAAAGGGAGTCCTGATCATTACATTATCTAACCATCTAATTACTTATGTAAAAGTTGTTGCTTCTTTGAATTCAGTTTTATCATTAATATACTAGATATGAAACAAATTAAAATGAGGTAGAATAGGTTCTCAGATCCTGTAACAGTCTTGGGCTATATTCTGTGGTAGGTTCGGTGTAGTTATAAGTGTGTTCGAACTCAGACATGTTAAATTGAATAATTTTATTTTTTTTCCTGTATTGTGTTAAATAGTGTAAAAAATTCTAAAAATGTCATTACCAATACACTGTATAACAAATTAATTATTTTTACTGTTACACTAAGTTGAAGATTATAAATATGTTATTCAAATTTTAAACAGCCTTATGTTGGGATGTATGTTTGGCACTATGAAGGTGTATAAAAAAAAAATCCAATTGGTCATAAAAAAAGCTCTCAGCTAATTCTGTTGAACACACACACTCTACTTTAGATTAAATCTAGATACTTAAGTTCTGCACACCATTGTAACCCCTTTTACATGGCTGGGGGTCAAAGTGATCATTCCACAATGTGTTACAGAGTGCCATTCAACATGGTATTATGTATTTGATGTCAGAGTTATGAACTATTAATCTTACCTTACATTGCTTATTTAATTACATTTTGTAATACAGGAGAGTAAGTACCAAAAACAATATGCAGTGATACTGAAAAAACTGTAATATGCATTTTGGAGATTCTAGAGTTATGCGGATGCAATACACAAACTGTATGATGACAAAAATATTGTTATTCTTCTTGCACACCGACTTGTCAGAGTCTGTATGTACTACATCTGATTTTTTTTTTACGTACAATAGACTTGTACTTTTTACTAAAAGCTTGCCACATTTTGTATAGATACACATAGTAAATTTGGAATACTAAATGTTCCTTTTAACCGACCCTGTGAATATTTGATTAATGTTATCAAAGGGTCATAAAATTAACCTACATTAATACAATCTACTTTGAAAATGAATCTGTGAAATTAACAATATATTAAAGCAAGTGTACAAAATTTACCAATTCAGCCTACATGTTTTTCCAAGCTACTAAATTGAGAAAACAGATCAACTTGAATGCATCATCCCATTGAAGTTTTCAAAGATATATAACATGGTTAAACTTAGATGTCAATATCTTTGTTTTTTTCATTAACTTACTACAATACAACCACAAACTCTGGGAAAGAAAAGATTATTAGAGCCAAATGCTTCAGCTGACAACAAATTTGGCTCTGATTAACTTTTTTTGTGTGTGTGAAATTTGTGGTCATATTTTGTAATAATGTTGGTTTCTAATCTCCAACCTATACATACATTTTCAATTCAGAAATGGCTGGGCATGATCTAGTGGTTAGCATAATTGGGACCAGTGTTCAAGACTTAATGTCACTGAAACACAAACTGCACCTTCAGCTGTGGATGCATTATAAAAGTGACAGTCAATTGAATTATTTCATTCACAGAGCTGGACAAAGTCCTTGTAGTAGCAGGTGTTGCTGGCTTTCTTGTCTAATTCAAAATCACGAATGGTTGCACCTGAACCATAGGGATCTTTTACCTGGCTGTTTAGCCCATTTGCAACTGTAATCTGTATAAAAGAAATATATTAAAAATTCCAACAGTAAAAGGTGTTACTATATCATTACTTATTAACAGTTTCTTATTTTTTATTAGCAGCATTTAAAGTTAAATTCAAAAAGTTTATAAGTTGACTGGAGAAGGTAATGAACTGACCTGTTGTGGGACCAGAATGAAGAAAAATGTAAGGTATAGTTGCTGGTTCAAAACCAGTTCAAAGGGTTAACTCATAAGGAGAGCAAAATTGAAGGGTGAAAAAGTCCAAACAGAAGACCCAGCAATTTATTTACCTCTTTTTTGGGGGGGGGGGTAATGAAAGTAAGTGTAAAAGGATAACCGGAAAAACAGTACTTAAGGATTATGTATGTTTGAAATTCAACCATGGGTGAAGAGCATCTGTCTGGCAATGGTACTTCCTGAAGTGTTGTGGTGTCATTTAGTGGTTAATATCATAGTGCTCAGTCTTTAATTATTATGTAATGTGAATACAAAGGAAAGGATTATTTTCTACAATGTTGGATCACTTAGGAGGTAGTAATTTGGAGTAGTAACTAAATAATGATAAGCAATGGGCAAATATTCTGTTATATTCACTGTTCAGGGATTGCCTTACAGAAATACCATTTTTGACTAGTAAACATCTCTTATAAAAGTTCTGTTGCCAACTTATGACATGTTTTGTTTTTCTGAACTCTTAATTTCTCTACTGTTTTAGCATTTGCTCTGTTCTCTCTCACCTTCACTGTATTTGTGAGGTGTTTGGTATATTTTGTGAAAAGTGTCATTTATTTTTCTTCAAAAAACACCACATTACATTAGTTTGGTGATGATGATTTATTTGGTGTAATGAAAGTTTTTTTCATTTTGAAATTTAGTGGTAATACGTAATGCCTAGGACTCGAATAGTCAGGATCATAGCAGTAGTTAATGTAAACTAGTAGCATTTAAAAGGCTAGTAGTAAGGTCACAGTTAATTTTAATATTGTGAGAAAGTGATTTCAATATGAATTAATGATAAATTACAATTAAAGTTTCAATGGGAACTTTGAACAGTTTATTTTTAAAATTGTAATATCACAACAACAGAATTATCATAACTTTAACATTATAATAATTTTTTGGTAATGTTTATTCTGATGTATGCCACATAATAAAGATTAAATTGTTCTTACCAAAAGATATTCCTAAAGTATCTTCTGTAATTAATCTAAGACACTCTTACTCAGTGCCTTCTTTTAAAAAATGTTTTCCTTCTGTGAGTCATTTTATTGTGAAAAAACAAAACAAAATCAACACAATTGATATCGGGATTGACAGTAAAATGCAAATCAACTGTCATTACTATATTTGTATGGAATTTCATAGGTATAGTAAGCTAGTGGACAATTACATCTTTTATTGTTCCTTAAGTGACATTTTGTGGTACCTTCCTAAAGAATTATACACTGTAAATTTTTATTATTTTTATTGCAAACTCATGAATTTGCACAGAATTAAATATGTTAAGATAATAATAATTAGTTGAACCAAAAGTAAGTTAGTATATATATATATATTTAGGTCTTTACTGCACTAGAACCTTCTAATGACACCTTGGTTCTTGAATCTATTACCAATTAGAAATCTGTATAAAATCTTATGTTTCTGTAATGTGTTACAATTGATTTTTTTCTTTATAAGTCTGAATCATTTGTCAGTCTGAACAGAATCCATTGAAAACATAGTATGTTGCAATATTATATATATATATATAGTTAATGGAAACTACTGAAACACTTTAATAGTGAAATTTAAAGAAATGCTACTGCTATTTACAGTTATTTTATAAACTTACATACACTTATAAATGAATTATATGTTGCTATTTATGAGATAAAGTGGACTTTAATGACAGTAAATAAGTTTTTTTTTCTAAATGCTGCCTTATGTCACTATATAATTAATTCCAACCAGTAAAGACGTCCATTTAATAAAAATGTCTACACTTTTATTTAGAAACCGTTACAGCTTAAAGCATTGAAGTTCAGCTGCCACATGTATTAGCAATGTGAACACATTTTGAATAAAAATGACTTTCTTGAAAAAAGAATACTGGTATGTACCAAATGTACATCATATACATACAGATATGAATTATACTCAGACAAAAAAATCTTTGTTTTGTACGTATAAGTTAGTTGCTTAAACCTTTGTTTCTTATATCTTTGAGTCACATATACCCAAATTAAAAAAAAAAAGCCCAAATAGCTTAATTTCTTTGAAATTTACAAATTTGGTTTCTTTTCACACTTGCCATATTTCTTCTCTATTGTTTACTGTTCTGTAGTAATACTTCACTACTTGTATGTAACAATGTTCTTTACAAAAATTTCCTTTTCTGAAAAGTTGCCCATTTTAAAGGTGAGGTAACTGACTTGTTTTATTTTAGTTACCTTAGAAGCTACAAAAAAAATAAGTTTTGACATTTAAAATATTCAGATTTAATCTTCACTTTAAAAGAAATATCAGCATTTTCTTGTTTATTTCTGAGATATATAGGAAACTGTTAATTATAAGAACTCGTTACTGAAAGCATAGAAAAATGTAATAATTTATCAGCCATACTACATCTAGTGCCGATGAGGCCTTTTGCCCAATACCAGGATTTATAAAGCCAGCTAGGATACAGATGTAGCAGTGATCATGATGATTCTGTTATCATCTGTTATTAGAACAACTATTTCAGTGTGAACTAGATTAAGTTGGTGAAAGTGTAATTTAACTTATTACATACAAAAATTAGGTTTATGGTTTTTATTAATATTAGTTATTTTATTTGAATGTTTAAACAGAAGAATTCATAAGCTCAAAATAATTGGTCAATTGGGTAATAAAAAGTGTTAAAGATCATGTATTATTAGTACTTTTAACAATGAAAATTTGAATCATTAATTTTTATAATGTCTGCCATATATATAATAATTTTTATTTTTTTTAAAAAGAACACTTGGCTCCATATAATTTCATCTATACAACTGCAAAACTGGCTATAACAAAACTGTACCTATCACTGTAAGAAGTGATTTTTCTTATCCTTTAGTTTTATGTTATTTGCAGTATGACTTGATAATTAGTTTGTAAAGTACATGTCCAGAATTATTTAAGTTTTTCATTTGAATGATAAATCAGTTAACACACACTGAAGGTAAATTAACTTTTTCAATCCAAACATGAACAGAAGAGATGGTCGTATTTATATGTCCAGTTAGATTGAATATTTTTTTTAATAATTAAGAGGATTTACTTGAAATAAATACTGTATGAAGTCAGTAGAAAACATTCATTTCCTGGTGGCTCAGTGGTAAGTCTAATGGCTTACAATACGCAAAATTGGGTTTCAATATTTATGGCGGGCACAGCACAGATAGCCCACTATGTAGATTTGTGCTTAAGAAAAAAAAAACTTGTACAGGAAGACAAATTAGCTTGTACATATGTATAATTCCAGCTAGCTGCACACTACTGTACATGCATTAATTTGTTGTTGTTTCTTCAGATTACATTTGGCCATAAATATTAGTTAATCCTGCTTTCTTTTGTATCTTGTTAAATACTATAATAAGATAAAGAAATTTACATTTTTCTTACTTAAAAGCAAGACATTTACATTTTGTCAATAAGAGCGTAACAGCAGACCTCTAGTTTAAGTTACTGACTGTAACTTGAAATAGTTAATAATTCTAGTTCACACCATTACATCTTTTGTTGTTCATGATATAAATAGCACTTAAACCACTACTATGTCTGTTCTGGCATGATTAACCCTGGTATTGGACAAAAGGCCTTTACAGCACTGGATATGGCAGATGTGATTGACATATTGTTATATATTATTCCTTACTTTCACTCATGTGGTATTAGAATCTAAAATTATTTAAGAATGGGATAAATAAAATGTGATAATTCATACTTAATAGATACCAAAATTGCTACTGATTCATTTACAATCAAATATACCAGACTTGGAAAGGATCCATAATCTTAACAATATTATACACATCTTTGAAACTGGTTTTCAATGTTTCATTTATGATCTCAATAATTGAGGCAAGAAACACAAAGCTTATAGTTCACCAACATGCTAAGAGTGCTTTCTAGCAGCTACAAATAAGTAGGAGCACTTTGCTCCCTCTTTACACAAGGCCACAAAATTAGATGATTGATTAGCCTAAGATGGTGGTGATTTACTTGTTTTACAAGTTTTGTGTAACTGAACCATTTATCTTTTAAATAGTGGTTTTATCAGAGGTATTAACACTATATCTAACATTTACATAGTACTTCAAAATAAAAATTGTTACTCTTTCTCTTAATGAAAAACCTTACTTAGCATGGAACTAGATAATGAAGAGTCCTTGCTAATAAATTCAGACAATTTCTAAGGGGGCCCAATATAAATCTAAGGCCCTTCAGTGGTAAGTATAAAGGCTTATAATGCAAAAACCAGGTTTTGATAGATAACCCATTTTGTAGCCTTGTGCTTACCTAAAAGAAAATCCAATCAAAATGTGTTAAAAGAATTTCTACTGTGTATATATATATTTTGGTGTTGTGGGTCAACAAAGTTTTTCACTCAAGATCAAATTATATCAAGCCAGCTGTATAATGAGATGCAGTCTTTATAGAAGCATTATTTAAAGTATAAAGAAATTGTATAACAAGATGTATAATGAAAAGGCAAAAAATGAAAGTGTAAAAATTTGTTTGAATAGAGATTATAACTTGGTCTCAACTGGCATATACTAATATGCCCAATAATAATGTCTGTGATACAATGAAAACGTTTCAAACTTGTTAAAAAATTCACAGTAAAATTACAACCATTATAAACGTAGTTAATAATTTCAAAAGAGGAATGCAAATTTCATTAAAAAAAAAAAAACCTGTATAAATAAATGAGATAAACTTTAATTCAGGCTTTGTGATTATTTGTTTAAAATTACATGGAAAAATAAATAATGTGTCTGAACATTTAATAAAAATAAATACAGAGAACAAAAGGTAACATAATTTTTTAAAGAATTACATCTGTCATAGACATAATATTTGGTGCAAAAATAATCATAGCATTTCATAAAAAACTAATACAATCAATACAAAAAATTGATTTTAAATGATATTAAACATAATGACTAAATCATGAACTTATGAGTGTAAAAAACTTAGCTAAAATGACTATAAAATGGCTTTTGGGTATAACTAAATTAAGAATACCCATATATTTCAACGATGACATGTACACACTTATAATACAATATTAGAATAAGTAATCCAAAACATTATTCCACCTATTAAAAGATCAGCTTGTGCTCAAGTAATTATATTTCACAATACTTCCCATGATTATGGAATATTTATTTAAATGCTGGACTTTGAAACCTATTGATGCTTATACTTAATCTAAATACTCCATTATAAATGAGGTATATATATATATTTTCTTTTATTATTTCATTAAGTGTGCTGTTATGAAGTAATTACAAGTGCAAATTTTGGGCTACCTGTAAACTCTTAAGACAGACAACAATTTACTATTTTAAAATTCACATTTATATAGTTCTGGTGGCTAAAAAATAACCTTAATGTTCTATAGTAGTAAGGTACTTATCAAAAACAGCTTTATGAAACAACTCGAGACTTTTTAATCAACATAATTTTTCATGTCATACAACATGCATGTAGGAAGAAAAAATTATATGACAAGTTGTTACTAAGATTTATGAATTAAGTTCAGCAAGGAATCAATAAGCTTCTGTATCCAAATGGTGGTACTGAAATCAGGTGCATAAAAAAACTTAGTTTCTATGAATGAAGAAGTTATAATGTTTGAAATTGTCAATATATATTGAATACAGTTATGTTTTGCTCAACATTCATAACGTACAAGTAATTGTTTAGAGCAAAAATATAAACAAGCTTATGTTCATACGGCTGCCATACAATAGTAATAGGTTAACAGTAAAACAAATCACTCTAGCTCAGTAATGTTTTATATGAGGCTATTTATTAAAATAGTGTCTTCCTATCAGTAAGCTGTTCAAAAAAATTAAACTAGTTTTGATTTAACATGCAAAATAAGTTACATGCACAAGTATGTACAACATATCTTAATAATTTATGATCAGTGATGTATGTTATTGTTGTTCACGAACACTAAGACTTTGTACTTCACAAATACACATTTTTAAAAACAAATATAACTGCCTCCTTATTTCTGTAGTTATTAAAAGTAAAATATGGAATAAGTTTGCATCTGAAAATACTACTGTTTGTTGTTTTATTATATGGTATTTTTTTAATTAAATAAACTACAAAACCCAGATAATATGTGTTGACAAGATTATATAGTTGTCCCTCAATTGGTTGAAAAGTATTTAAGTAATACACTCATTAAAATAACAAGACAGGAGAGTATATTTACATTAGTTAGGTTTTTAGTTAAACATGAGTATATTTCAATAAGATACTTTCATTAATAAAAAACTAATATGGCACTTTAATAAATTAATTACAGTAGTGTATTTGAAAATATTTCAAGTTGACAAGTGTATATTCCAATAAGACAAGTCTCGTTAACAGAAAATGTTTTTAATATGAAAATTTAATTAGACAGTCATATCTTTCAATGAGACCTTTAATTAATTAAAAATAGTAATTTTAACAAATTTTACTGTACTAATCACAATGAATTTCTAATTACCATAAACACTGTTATTGATGGTTTACTTCTTAATGTTCAAATTTAAGCAAAACTGCATGGTATTATTTCTTGCCAAAATATTTTAATCTTCAATAAGAATTATATGCAAACAATGATGAAAGACAGATGGTATAGAACAATAAGTGAAGCTTTACACATTTTTAGAAATGATGATATTTTACCTACATATATATAAAAAGTACCTTTTTTCCACAATCAATGTTTTTTTGTTGTTGTAAATTCGTTATGGCCTATCTCTCTCTGCTAAGGGGTAGTCTAGATATTACTTGGTTTCACCTTTTGCTTATAAGAACTATTTCATGAATATGGTATAAGTTGCATAACACAATTAACTTTTTGAGTTTTCTTCTTAACAATCTATTATACACACAACTGTAAGAACTCGAAAACAGAAAAAAGTTTTGTCTGAGAAAATGTAGCAAATTATTTATTTATACTATTGACACATCTGTGCAAATAGGATAAATATCACAAATGCCATTAAATCTAGACAAGTAAGTGTTATTTTTAATGTTTTAATTTGTTCTTTAGCTAAGATGGGTCTATGGCTCATAATAATGATGTTAAGATTTTAGGTTTAATAATATAGACCTATAAAGTTCTAAAATTTTATGTCAAAAGTTTTTTAGTAAATTTGAAAGTATATTATAAATACAAGATTCAAAGAAGGTATCAGTGTGTTTCAGTTTTTTGGTGAAGTATTTGGATCTGTGTTAGCTACCATGCATATTGAGTTACTCTGTAAAAGTAAGTTTATTTTTACATTAGTGTAGTACAGTTAGCATGGCATACAAGATACAACAGTGTTCAAGCTTTTAAAATGTTAAGGAAGAAATAACTTATCATTACGTGGACTGGACTTTGAATTATTTTAACCAGCTAATCTAAAAGAACCTGTCAACAAATAATACAAATCTTGGGGATTATAATATTAGATCTTATAGAAACAGTAGTGAATATTAAATTTAAGAAGCAGGGTTCTGCTTATATTTCGACATACTTAATTTCTGCTGAGTTACAGATTAGTTAACAACTGAAGCTTTTATCAGTAAATTGAACATGATAATTATATCCATTATTAGAAGAAAGAAAACATTTACAAGACTGTTAGATAGAATCAAGTATAAAGTAGCAAACCTAAGATTTGAAGGACTACTGTATCACACTAACATCATAAATCAACATAATCACAAAGCCTGTGTTATGCATAAAATACATAAAAAAAGACCTTTGAGAAATACTTTAAAATCAAGCTTCAACATGAAAGACATACAAAGAAATGAAAAATCACTGAAAGTATACAGATCTGAACTCTAGGTAAGTATATTACTTGGCCAGAAGCTGCATCTTAAGATCACATATGCATGTTTTTCAATATATTTTTTTCAATTTTAAAATCTATACTTACTTAAAATTGTAAGGTCATGCAGATGTTATAATAACAGCAATTACTTGTTAAATATTATGTAAACTTCTTCAAATGTATTAATGACTATCAGCAATGCTATTGCACAAATTGAAGAATTTTCTCATTGTATTTGTATAAAACATCTATAAACACAAATGTATCAGAAACCTTCCATATCTACACCTCCATAAATACTTCTGCAGCATACAAACAACCTTGAATCTAGTAGCATGTACACATACTGTGAAAATATACCAAATATTAAAAGTATATAACCCAAATAACCAGCAAAAGACATTGGGTTGCAGACACTGAAGTCTTGCCAAAATATCCTAAAGTTATTTTGCACATTATAAATGACACAAATCCATATTTATCATAAAAAACAGTCTCTGGTTCAGCACACATTAGCAACTTTTTTAACAACCAAAATACAGTACATCAAGAACTGAAAATATACTTACACTATGACTGTACACATTATTTAATGTTTCTCAATCATATGTGACAACATTTAATTTGATCCTTTATCTCTTACATATATTGTACAAAACATATTAACAAATTAATGTAAAATATTTAAATAGCTTGTAGTTGTATATTTACATTGTTTAAGATGGTTTGGAAGCTTATGAAACAGGCCATTATTGCTAGCTTTCTGAAATAAGCCAATGAAGGTTATAATGCTCAGAGTAAGGCTAGTTTGATAAACCAGGCACAAAAGGCTAACTTTTTAACACACACTTACAAATTATATAAAGTAAACAATGGCTGCAAACTACACATAGAACCACTTAAAATGTTAGCTTTATAAAACCAGCTAAAGCCTACAAGCTTAATAAAATCAAAGAAAGGCTGGCTTTGTAAATCTAATAAGAGAAGCCTTTTCTGTAACCAGCTATTACACACCACTTACAAATCAACCAATTGTGTATTTTAAATTCAAAAACAAGTTAAGGATATTACAAGCACACTAAACTAGTTTCAGATTTTCTCAAAATTAAAAAAAATATAACTATCTGTGCCAAGAATCTAAAGTAACAAGTATAAATAGTTATAAATATTGTTGTTTCGTAAAGAAAAAAAAGTAGCTGCAATGAAAGACACAAATAAATCTAATGTAAACATTAGTATTTTTTGGACTTTGATTGACAATAAGTATAAGTATTTCTTATGCTTCATAAGTTTAGAAAGAGTATTATAAATAATAAATTGGCAGAAAACACACCTCCCAGAATCTTTCTGAACAAGTTGAACACGCCATATATTTTGGGGTATTGAACTATCAGCTGAACAGAAGAAAGATGATAAAGCAAAATGATCTACCTGCCTGATCTCCATTCACTAGAAATTTTACCTGGCTTGGAAGTGACAGTTTTTTTTTTAATTACACAGTTGTTTAGACTGGTAATGTGGTTACAACACCACCTGCTATAATAATACATATGACAGATATTATTTATGGTTTCTTTAAAGGTTTGATCAAATACATTTTGTCCCCACGAGGGCTGGTGTATATTGGAGCTCTTTTATAATGTTCCACAAGATCATCAAGAGAAGAAAAAGTTCGTTGGCCAATACAAAAAATTCCTTCCTCTACGTGTACTCTGAAATGCTTGTTCCTGTTTGGTGCTTTTAATGATACTGAAAAGTCTCCAATCTGTTTTGAGACAACAGAAACAAAACATTAATTATACGAGTATATTTTCAGTGGCTAAAAAATATTTGATTTTAATATGCATAAAACACAGGTGATTTATCACATAAAATAATCACATTTTCATATGTACATGTATACAAGATAGACAAAATACTGAAAAGCTGAAAGTTGTCAAAAGAAAAACATATTACCAATTTGCAACGAACCATACAAAATAGCAGGGCCTATAATTCAAAATATAACAATTCACAAGATTGTCATTCTGATAAATACATGTACAAACTTCATGACATTTATGGATAAAAACAATATCCACAAGTCTGGTAGCTAATAAATACTAGAGCTTGAAATTAAGTACATTAGTTTTACATTTAATGAAAATCTTTTAAACATTTTTTTAGTCAAAATATGGTAATGAAATATCCTGTAAGAAATAACTATGTTCTTTTCCACTAAAATTGTCCAGATTTTTTTTATTATTCTAATTTTTAAATTATAAGTACTTATTAGTTTGTTTGTTGTTTTTTTATCATGAAAGAGTTATCAGAGTAGTAGGTTTAAATACCACTTCATCTCAATATACACAGTTGCAGAAAAATTCTAAGTTCTCACAACAAAGTACCACTCTCAAAAAAAAGTGAAAATAAAACTATGAGTATGGAATAGAGAATAATATTTATACTGTAGGTATTCAGATTAATATGTATATAACCTGTAGTATATACACACCAAACTTACATTTGTTTCACTGTCCCTAATTAGAAAATCTCCATCTTGACCATATTCACTAAGCATTTGATCACACTGACTCCTTGTGACATTTCCTATATACCAAGATTTAGCTAGAAGATCCTGTCTTAAAACAGGAACTGGAAGAGGACCCCTGTTTTTGGCCTGTACTATTGGTGATCCTTCTGCAGATGTCACACTAATGTTGGATATTTCAGTTTGAACACGACTTAAGTCTAAACCTACAGCTGCCGAACCACCAATTGCTCTGCCAATGGAAGAGGAAGAGCCTGTAGATTCTAAAGTTCCACTACTTTGCCTCATTGTAATTACTTTAACATAGTTCTTCGGAACCAAACCAACTTCTCCAGCTTGGTTACGAGCCCTCCACCAGCCTGGATCATTAGCTGGTCGATCAATTATCTCAAGGTGTTCTCCTTTATGAAAAGACATTTCTTCTTCATTCTGTGCAGAATATGAATACATAGCTAAAACAACATCCAAACATTCAGTGTCCTTTAAAGTTCCTGTAGCTGAACCAGCAGGAGTATAATTGTGGCTAACATCATTCAGGTCATCAACTTCCTCGAGTACATAATTGGAGGGAAACCAGCCTATACAGCCTTCATATTCACCTTTCCACCAACCATCACTGGATTTCTCCATAACAACCACTCTTGTGCCTTTCACCAAGGATATTTCATCTGATTGCTGAGCCGTATAATTGTATTTTGCTAATGCTGTGGAGGTTACCAAGGCTTTGTTCTTAGGAGAAGTACTGTTTCGGGAAGAGGCACTGATGTTAATGTCTTTGGTGGTAACTGGTGAAGCAGTTGGTGACATTTTGGATTCACTTTTCTTTTTGACTTTTCTACGAAAACTATCAAATATTGATGGTTTTTCTCGCTTGACAAAATTTGATGGTACAAACCCTGACTGGTTTTTAGAATTTGAAACTTTCCACCAGTGTTTAGTATCATCTAATAAAAGAAGTCGTTCATTTTTTCGGATGTCCAGTTCTTGACTAGCCTGGGCTTGGTAGTCATACTTAGCTATCACATAAACATCCTCTCCACTTTTACCTAAAGAACAAAAACACAAATTATACTTATTTTTCTTTATTCAAGATTAGTTGCCACTTGCACTGAAATTACTGAGAGATACTTTTCAATAAAAAATAAACTTCCTTAAGAAATGATTCCTGCAACAACACGACTATGCACTTGTGACAGATATTAGTCAAGAAGACATCTTGAACTATTTCCTATGCCTGTCCAACTAAGACATACATACAAAATTATGGACTTAAAACATATTTTAATCACATGTTCAGAGTATAATTATATCAACTTATGAGTGAAAGTAGAGATGAATGTAATGTGTCAACAATACCATATCTGCTATATCAAGTGCATATATTTTATTTTGAGCAGTTTTAGACCAGAAACAAATATCAAACAATTTTTGTCTTTGCTGGTCAATTACCATAATTAACTAAATCTATTATTTTTTTGCCTTTTAAAACAAAATTAATATTCTAAACACACTTCATAACATAAATACTATACAATTCTCCAAAGAAAGAAAAAAGTTAAATCTATATAATTGCAGTTTTTTGGTTAACTGAATTTATTTAGTATTACTTAATAATTTTGTCAGGTAAAATGGAGGTAAGCTCTAAAATACAGAATATACAAACCAAAATAATAATCAGTTCCATGCTAATTTTAGGTTATAAATATATTAACAACAACATTATACAATGCTTCATCAAGTGCTTGATTCTTTTAATTTTGAAATCAAATAATATTATAAATACAAGTTACAAAAGTTCACACTAACTGAATATGAAGTAAACCTAGGCGTATAAGTTATAGTAATAACAGAAATAACATAATTTATATTACTTTATTTGTTACAAGTTACAGTTTAGTACATTTACTTTAGTGATTTCCTACAAATACTGTTGTACTGAGTATGAATAACAAACTAAGTTAACGTTGCTACCCGTAGTTTCCGGATGCAGACTAAAGTCGTGTGAAAGAAGCCGGTACACCTATTAACACCAGTACCCATCTAATAATACTATATAATATTGGTAATCAGGAATACAGATTACAGGATTATTAATAAAGTAATACCAACAATAATATCCATATCATATGACTCGGTAACCTACCCATTTTTGGAATAGACATGATGACTAAATTATTTTATATGACTAATCCGCAAAAGGCTAATTTATTATTAATCAAAAAAGAAGCTTTCAGATCTGAAATTATAATTCTGAGCAACCTGCATAATAAAATAACTTGAGAAAAAAAACATTAATTCTAGTTATAAGACAAATACTCCGCCCTTCTCCACTCTTTCATCCTGAACCCGGCATATATATATATCACGGCCATTCTCGTCTACCGCGAGATGAAAGAAAAAATATTAAAAGTGTAAATGGAAACACCTGTTTGAATTACACACACACATATATATATATATATATATATATGTACATATTTTAGTCTTCTTTAAAAATACTTTAGGCTCGACATCATCCATGTAACTAAAACACTACTTTCCTAGAAATGACATGCGTATTGTAATTGTTTTTCATTTTTTACTCTACCCTCATAAATGTGTGTGTGTGTGTGTGTGTGTACGCGCCTGAACGTATACCCAATAAACTTACCGATCTACAAGAATACAAGGGTTTCTTCATGACCATAGTAATAATCTGTGTATCTAAGAGCTTTGCTTCAGATCATGTCTGTGACATATTTCTATACAAGTTAAAGGCTCTGACCCTCGTGATTTGCCAGTGCAAATGGCGCAATTAAGGGTCGTATTACACAACATTCCGCTGCGAAAGTATCTTATTTAGTGATTATAAAACATGAAAGGCACTAAATTTCAACGTTTCTAATTGTTTATTTGTTTTGTTCTAGCGCAAAGCTATACAATGGGCTATATGTGCTCTGTCCACTACGGAGAATCGAACTCCGAATTTTATTGTTGTAAGTCCATAAAGTTGCCGATGACCAACCAGGAGACCAATGTTTCCAAAAAAGATATTTGCAGTTTTGAACTATATCGAAAAAACGCAGTGATTTCAGCAGAGGAAAAAAATCACACAAACAGTGCTTATGCTCAGGTCGAACTAAATTAACTATAGAACAATAGGATAGGTCCGCTGAACAAGGTGAATGACAAAGTATTTTTCGTGAACTAGTGCTGACTGTCTAAATAATCGAGTCTGAGAAAAACAAAAGAAACGGTACAAAAAGTAATGCGCAAAATGAACAATTTTTATTCAACTCACAAATAAAGTGTGTTTATAGTTGCTGTTATCTCAAACACGGAACGGAAGCTTCTACTGGATGTTATATCTTCAACAGATCAGGATGATTTCGCCTACTAGACTGTTTAAATTCAACCTTCCTTATTTCGGAAATAACATCAAATTTACCCAGAGTGACTAGCGTTAGCCATGTGCTTCCTTTTCCAATTCAAGCATAAGGAAAGCTATAACCTCGAGATGCCACCTAAACCAGTGGGCCCTTTTTTTCTGTAATATATATTGCCTTCTCTGCACCCCACGAAAGAAAGAAAACGTCCAACTAATTTAAAACATAATATTGTTACGCCTCCAGTCGTAAGCTGATTTTCCGTAACTTCGTTCCGACGAAACTTTAGCGACACAAGTCCTTACTTAATAAAACTGGTTTATTCTTTCCGAATACAACTTTACGATACACTTAATTTCAACAGTCGCTCTATAACAACACTATAATTCACGTCTCACGAGGCCAACAATATTTTGTCCGCATACATTCAATTACTCATCACACTGTTGTGCCGTCACGTTGTGACCATCTTATATATACCAAACTACCCCCAATCTAGTAAATGCTAGGGCATTCACGAAGAAATAGAATATTTCTAGAAAACGTGGCGTGACACTAGTCACGTGACCTCGCTGACGCAACACTGCCCCCTCCTTAGTATTGTTCGTCCCGAACAATAACCACATGCAATTAACCAATAACAATTAACAATAACTTAATTAAATGTACAGAATTACAATCACAAAAATACAATTCAACAAAGTCTCTTAATTTTAAGGGACATATCTTCTTCCGTACTGGTCTCCGTCTCGTTGGCTTTTGTTACACAGTAGTTCCTCTCTGGTCTACTGAAAATCCTACTGAAGTAGGCCACCACATGTTCGTTTTTGCCCACTTTCTGAGACAACACTCCTCCAATTCCGACATTACTAGCATCACAATCCAGTATGTATGGCAGTGAGGGATCTGGAAGCTTTAAAAGTGGAGCAGAGGCCAATTTTTACTTCAAAATGTAATGAAAGAATGCTGGCAAGAAACTGTACATTCAAATTTCTGGCCTTTTTTAGTCAAATCATGTAGTGGAGCAGCTATAGTTGCAAAGTCCTTCACAAACTTCCGGTAATAAGTACAGATTCCCAAGAAACTCCTTAACTCTCCCACATTGTCTGGTGTTGGCCAGTCACGCACTGCTTTCACCTTATCAGGATCAGTTTGCACACCATTCTAACTTACAATGTGGCCTAAGTAAAGCACCTCTTTCTGGAACA